TTCCAGCGGCTCCTGTCAGGCGCCGAGTCGAGCAATTCGGACGACAACGCATGATGGTTGCGCCACGTAGGAGTGTGTGTGGAGGTGAGACTGTGGAGGATGACTGCCGTGTGGCACTGCCGGTAACCGACGTGAATGTTATGGGCGATGGAGATCTTTCGGATGAATACGAGGCCGTCGATTCTAGTGGCAGCGACAGCAGCGACAATAGTGGCGACGATATCATCGTGAGGCGTGAGTACCCCGACGACACACTTGAGGACGATGAAGACGTTGCTCTGATGGACGACGCATTTGTCGAGGCGTTAGGTGGCAAATTAACACTGGAGTCGATCGACAAGGCCGCACTCCGGAGCTTTGAGTGGAGTCCTCCTTCGTCCATCTTCGAAGCTGACAGTGGAGGGTACCCTCGCCTGTCTACGGACGACGCCGTACCGATCAGGGAGCTACAGGACATTGCGGATTCTCCCTTGCTGCTTCTATTTTACTTCCTACCAAACCACTGTGGGTTACCATTACCAAGGAGACAAATCGCTACAAGAAGCAGACAGTACACGCCAGAGCTAAGCGAATCCGACAGAAGCAAAGGAAACGCACTGTACCAGCCCCCGAGACTGTTAAGCAGATTGAAAGGCGATTGCGCGTCGAGGCTGCGTACGAAACTCATGAGATACTCCACGTCATTGGGCTCTTAGTGGCAAGAATGCTGAACCCAATGACGCGTCGCTTTTCTCGGCATTGGTCAATGACCGAAGACGGTGCAATACCTGCCGGAAACTTTGGCAAGTTCATGGCTCGAAACCGCTGCACGTCAATACTTCGATACTTCCATGTCGTGAACAACGAAGCCCCACGGATTCGAGACAAATTGTGGAAGTTACGGCCTGTTGTCGACACGTTGCAAACTCGGTTTCGATCTGGCTGGTCACTCGGCAGTAAGTTTTCGTTTGACGAAGGCGTACTACCAGCCACGTCCAAGCGCAACACCACGGGGATGTTTATGCCCGACAAGCCCCATCGATACGGAACCAAGTTGTTTATGGCTTGCGATTCTGTGAGTGCATACTGCCACCGGTAAGTTTGTTTCGTTTATTAATTATGTCGTAACTTACGGCTTGAATTGTAATACGATATTTTATTACGTCGTAACTTACTACTATAGATTCGAGGTGTACGTCGGAAAGCGTGAGACCGAGGATGGTGATCAGCAAGCAGTCGACGACAAGACGGGGGCTGCTGCAGTTATTCGAAACATGAAAGCCGTTCTGGGAGATCGATCACAAGGGTTTCGATTGGTAGTGATCGATCGATTTTACTCGTCTATCCCACTGGCTATTCAGCTTCTATCGATGGGTAGCTACGTGGTGGGAACGATCATGGTCAACAGACTGGGGTTCGACAAGCAAGTTATTGAGAAGCGTAAAACACGTCCTCGAGCGATTGAGCGTGGTACTTTTGCGTTCTCTCGCTCCACTGCTATACCGACCATGATAGCTTGCCACTGGTGGGACCGAAAGCCGGTCCACTACCTGGCCACGGGTCCGGTCATGGCAGAGGACTCTATTCGTCGTAACGTCAAGATGGTCGGGCCGTCTTGCGTCAAATGCCCAAAGTTAGTTACTGATTACCAACGCTGGATGGGCGGAGTTGATGTACATGATCAACTTCGCCTGCAGTCCTATTCAATCCAAACGGCTTTCCGTTTCAGGAAGTATTACAAGTCACTGTTCATGGGTTTCATGGACATGGCACTCGTCAATGCGTATTACACACACAAGGAAACATGCCGGATCAAGAGGCTGGTACCAAAAGATCGTGGAGAATGGTATCTTCTACTTCATAAGCAATTGATGCAACTCAAAGCCGACGACTTCATTGAAGCTACTGCTCCTACACCTTCTCCTATGGCTCGCTCTCGCAAGCGCCGCCGACTAGACGGTCACAAACACATCCAGTTCGACGACTGGGTCACCGTTTCAGGCACCCAAAAGCGCCGGCAACGCTCTTGCAAAGTATGCGCTCTTCTACGAGGCGATCGAAAAAAATCCTTTCAAACGACCTATTATTGTGAGGATTGCTCACACGCAGACGCAAAGTGCTTCCTCTGCTCCAAGTCGCGCCATAGCTACGGAGGCGTGCGCAAAACATGCTATCAGATTTGGCACGAAGACTTTGACAGTGGGGCTTCCATCCCAGCATCGCTCGGCAAGCGAGTCGTCTTGCGACGATCAGCCAAGGCTGGTACTCGAAAACCAACTCGGCGTGAGCTGCTCTGTCAACAAGACGGCGAGGCCGACAATGAAGAGGATCAGCCAGCTCAGCAATCGGCAATCGTTTGAATGCGTTTGGACAGCACTTAGTTTATGTAAATGTAGCTCTTTCTCTGTTGTACGAGGATCTCTACGGATGTGTAAATAGGCATCTGCTTCGACAAAAACAATACTTGAACGTCGTAAGTTATTGCTTTTCGTGATACGACGTGCTCATAATGTCGTAACTCATACGACGTAGCTCAGAATATCCTCTGACAGTTTATAGCGGGAATCCAGTGTGGAAAAGACACATCCATACAAATAAATATACTAAAATAAAGTCGTAACTTACGACGTAAAATAGGTGGTTCCAACACGGATCTTCTGGTAACTGAGGGGTTAAGAGACATCGCCGACTTTGTGACCATTTTACCCAGGCGGCAAGACAGCGCATTTCAAACAGATGAAGGAACAAAGCGGTGTTGCGTTTGAGGACATGCTGATCAATGACGATGATCTGGAGAACGTACACGACGTTAGTGCACTGGGAGTGGTGAGCTCGCACTGTCTCGATGGCCTCTTGGCTTCAAGCCATGGAGGTTTACTATGTACACCTTTGCCAATCCAAACTGGTGGTAGTGTAAACCAAAACGGAGTGAAGTAACCGAAGTAACATCTAAATTTGAGGAATAATTTTACAAAATTAGGTTTTAGAGCAATGTAGATTTAGTGTAGTGCAAACTGGCAAGAACGCGAGTGACACATCCAGCAATACGAACTACGGGCTCGCTGCGGACTGAAGTACACACAAAGATGTAAGGGGGCGTGAACCTGCGTATGGGCGCCAGAACACGAGAGTGTGGGTGCACACAGTGACCTCTCAGCTTGTACAGCCTGCATAATCATCGATAGAGGGACCAAGACGGCCAGCAACCCGATTACAGTAGACAGAGTACATCAAGGATGAGAGCTTTGGGCTGCGCTTGCAGATGTTAACCGGCCGTGGGGAATGGAAGGAGAGGGGTTGCAGCTCTGAGTTTGCGTCTCAAAAACGGCGCTTCAGCGATTGACGTGCCATCAAGCGCTCGTGTTGGGGCTGCTTGCCTGGACGGTCAGCGTTAAGAAGAGTTCGTACACTTATAACGGCGTCCGGTGCGGGGCGCTCGTGGCTATAGCCAATGCACTAATGTAATGTACGTGGTGCATGTGCAGTACTGTAGAAGACAAGATACTCTTATCGAGGCGACCATCGAACAAGAAATACTTCATCCTTTTGCTTTACACTAAATCCGTATTGGTCTGGATTAATTTTGGGGATTTCTAATTTTTTAAAAAAATAAATTTCTAAATAAGGGACACTCCGTTTTGGTTTACACTACCACCAGTTTGGATTGGCAAAGGTGTAGATGATTGAAACTACCTCAGTGTTGCTGAAGGACATGTCCTACTTCATCTAATACACACTTTCTTGGGGGATACAGAAACACACCATTCACGAATGCTTAGATACCGATATTTGTGTGTGTTAATTATAAACTTCACTATCGCATTTTTGGCCATGAAGAAAAAAAGTAAAATGAATAGAAGTCCTTCGAAGTACCGGTATATTCATCGATATATGCATTCGACTGTGAGAGGTTTTAAAGGAGGACAGCATCCTCCTTTTGAATTTCCTTTAGCTGTTTCGTATACCTCTCGAGCTCAACCTGAACAACGTCTTCCGTTTCCTGTCCTAATCCCGCTTCTCGAAGGCTCTTCAGTGTCTTGCACGCGTCCTTGATCATTTTCATCAACCTTGCACGCTGTTCGGTTTTACTTATCTCGTCACAGCTCTTCTCAGAGGTAGCCACATCGCTAGCGTCTTTATTCTCAGCAGCCCTTGGCGTCGACAAACTCAAGTTCTGTGTCAACTTCCCATTGACACTACCCAGCAGATGCGGCTTGACGTTGAGCCAGCACGCCAAATAATACACGTCCGCTCGACTTTGACAAAAAGTGGAAAATTCGGCATCCGGGTCTCCACTTATCTCAAATCGAGCTACTAAACTCGTGTACGCGGCACACAATTCTCGCCACATTTTCCACAATTTCTCACTAGAATGGTACACCGGCGTCCCTAATTGAAGCCCTTCAAAGAGGTGACCTTGGAATACTACTCGACTGTACTCCGCTAAGGGACTTATAAATTGAGTCCGCACTTTCTCCCAAAAAGGGTTATTCCCTGTCGGTTGGTCCGAGGTTAACGCTGTCTGTGAGGACTCAGCGTTCATCGCGTCCACAGATGCCGACAGCTCTTCCCCGAAAATCACATTAACAAGTCTCAAATTGCAATTCTTGGTCCTCCGAGTCTTGGTCACCGCCACTTTCTCGCGAGTCAAAATTTGGGATAACAGGTCAGCGTACCCCGCTTTATTGTTGTAGACGGCGTAATCTTTGCTACGCACAGGGACTCCCAGCAGTCCAATGAAGCTTCGCAACTCCTTGCATGTGCACTGCATGATGGCCGTCTGTAGCTCCTCGCTCTTACCCTCGGCGCTGAGACGCTGCAGGCGCTGGAGCTTGCTCACTCCAGCTGTAAGACTTGCCATCTTCGCAGCAAGTATAATACCGAGCGTTTTGACACACAATTTTAAGTAAAAAATAAACACATAATTTAGCGTGGTTTACACTAAATTGTATCTTTCGCGGCTGTTCAAGATCTATAGAAAGATATGCTTGTCATTTGAGTTTTGTGTCATTCGCGATTAAGTTCTGCAGAAGCCAAGAGCACGTCGTGTTAGATCTAAATGAAGCTTTTGTGCAGCTTTGCATCGTTGCTCTTGCTGGTCGGGGCTCATCCGGTATCGTCGTTTACTATCGACGCTAGTGCCGAAGTCGCCGCTGCGAGACCCGACGTTGAGGTGGAATTTGATCTGGATCCAGAGTCCAAAGCGCAATGGGGCGCGTACACTGGATCCCGCTCAGATCGTCCGGTTCTTGAAGGTCGATCAGGATCTATGGGCGTGAATATCCGTCCACTGGGGAGTGCCAAGGTCAAGCCTTTAGCTCCCATGTCGACGGTACTGCAGCCCGAAGGTTTCAACTTTGGACGTGGCACGGCATACATAACAACGGAGAACGTGGAAGTAGGCAGTGTATTATTATCATTGCCAATGAGTCAGGTGATGAGTGTGGAATCGGCTGCAAGAGGGAGAGTGGGGCTACTATTGGAGGTGAATCCAGACCTACCTTCAGCCATCGCATTGGGACTACACTTACTGGAAGAACGAGCTCTAGGAGCGGCTTCCAACTTCTCCGACTTTGTAGCTACATTACCAACGATCGAAGCAATCAACAGCACCTTGTTCTACTCGGAAGACGAGATGAAGGGGCTGGAAGGGTCGCAGCTACAGCGATTCACACTCGGTAGAGCTCAAGCCGTCGACGCCTTCTACGACGCTCTCGTGCAACCCGTCACATCACGCGAAGCTGTAGACCCACCCATCTTCCATAAGAGCGAGTTTACACTGGATAAATTCCGCTGGGCGATGGGTGTTGTGTGGTCGTCCACCTTCCAGTTCGGAGAAAACGAGGACGACGTTATTCTAGCTCCTGTTCTAAATACTATTGGAATCTGTACCGATCTAAATCAAGAAGGCAACGAGGCGTGTCCTGAGACAAGCATTAAAGTGGATACCGACACCCAGAGACTAACTGTGTACGCTTCAGTGGCTTATTCAAAGGGCCAAGAAGTGCGTCTCTCAATGCCTGGCAAGTCCTCGACCCAGCTCATGCTAAGCCACGGCTTTGCGAGAGCTCGAGCTTCCAAGCTGGACAAATTGGACCTCACTGTAACATTGGACAGCAGCGATACTTTAGCTCCTTTAAAAAACTACTTGCTGCAGACACAACTGAACGAAAGCATCAATGCGACGTATGAGTTCTTCTATGGCAGCTCCAAGATCGACGAGTACGTCTCGACTTCTTTGAGAATGAAACTCTTGTCTGGTGGCGAGCTCGCGCGGTACAAAGAGCTGCTAACTCCAACAGAGGGGGAGGAGCATCGACCCATTGTGAGTCTACGGAATGAGTTCGTCTTCACGCGTGCTGTCATCTCCACGTGCACGACGCTGTTAAAACAGTACCCGACAAGCATCGAACAAGACCAAGAAAATCTCGCTAAATTATCCGATAAAGACGACGTCGAAAGTGTCCGCATAGCGCATGTCCAACGCATCTTGATCATGGAGAAGCAGATTCTAAACGAGACGATGGAACTTGCGTTGGACCAGTGGCAGAGCCTCCTCTACTCGTCACACCCAAATCTACTCGAAGTCTAAATTCTAGAATCTAGAAGGTTGACAACACTAAATTTGGTCCAAAATGCCGTGCCTTAATTGTAAGCTTCGTATTCTCCAGAACGCGCTAACGACAGCGCTTCAACTTGCAGCATGGAGTGTCCACGGGCATTGCGAGCCATGAATCCAACTCCAATCAGCTCGTCTCCTTTGCGAAGTAGACTCACTACCTTTAGAAACGTTTCTAAGGACCAATTCATCGTCTCTCGCTGTAAGAAAACCTGCAGCGGTCTGTCGTAGCCAGTGCCCGTCAACTCGAGCGAGAGGAAGGCCATACCCTTGCTAAAGCGACGAACACGTGTGATTTCACCCGTAACTTGCACGTACACTTTCCTCGAAGCCTGTTCTTGCTCTTGTGCAGCTTTCACTCTGGCCTCCGGACTGTCGATAGCCACGAGGCTGTTTCCAAGCTTCGATTGTCGCTCTTTAAGTTTCTTCTCGAGCTCTAACCAGGTCTCCAGGGCAGCATTTCGACCGATGTTGTTGCTGTCTTTAGTATTAACAACAGTCGGCTGTACAACGGCCAGCTTTTGGAGCTTGTAGCAGCAGTATACGTATACTGGTGTACCAGGAGACTGCTCCTTGGACGCGATGAGAGACTGCACATCGAGCTCCAGATCTTCGTGTGCTAAGAACTCCTTCTTACGCCATTGTTTACGCGATGTGAGACACACAAGCGACGCTTTCCGACTGGTAGATTCAGGACAACTACCCGACACAAACTGGTCCAAGGTGCGACATACAAGGCGGAAAAAAGACGGCTTCTTCTTCGCACGACCACGGAACCCTCGGAAGATGAAGCCTGCATCTAAAACGCAAGCTAGCGAAGGAGTCAGGTGCCCATCGTTCTCGAATTTCACCGTTATCTTCTCCTCTTCGTCGCTGGTTAAAACGACAGTAGACTGGAGAATGTAGTGGCCACAAGGCTCAAATTTAATGCTCTCGTCTTCCGTTCCAGGGTCACTAGCCACGTCGATTATGCACTTGTGGAGCTGCAGTTTCAGCGTCTTGGTGCCTTGTTTATCGTTCATACTGAACGATAAATTGTCAGCTATCGACAACGTGTAGACGTGTTTGTATCCATCTCGAAGTAGCAGACGCACCGCCAAGCGACGGGGATGCCAATCAAGCGCGAGTACATGAGTATCCACGTCAAGATGAGACGCAACGGCGGACGGCAAACTGCTGCCAAAAGTCTGCTCCTCCGCCGTGATCTCTTCTGGATTCATAGAAGAGATATCGCGATCGAGTTCTTGTAATGTATCGCTAATAAAATCGAGCACTCCATCACGTTTCTTTAAGCTCTCCGACTGCCTCTC